TTTTGGGACCAAAGTATTTAATCAATTATTATTCAAAAAAATCTTTTAATGTTGGGAAAAAATAAAATAAAAATATTATGATTATAATATCATATGACATTATAAGTATATAATATAATGTATCATTATATAATATAATTAGTTAGTTTCATTCAGAGATCTATTCGTGATATTTTATATTTATTCATTTAATATCATGTCATATTTATTAAATATCACGATATAATTACAAATTTAAAATCTTATTTGTTATTATAATTATAACATTACCAAAATAAAATACGATATTAACCCTATGGTTGACTTACTAAATAATTTTATAAATTTAAAATCTTATTTGTTATTATAATTATAACGTTACTAAAATAAAATACGGTATTAACCCTACGATTGACTTACTAAAAATGCCTATTTATTGTTGAATGCAATCTTAAGACACTCCCTTTCTGTTAGGTTTTGTATGCAAATTTAATCTTAGATTATAATAATTTTCTATAACATGTAATTTAATCTTAAGAGTATGTTATTTGTTGATTAGTTGATGTGTATTAAACAATAACGATAGTTTAACAAATTTGACCAAAATTTATGATAAATTTATAATAACGTGATATTAATTTAATATCATATTATTTAATATTACATTATAATTATAAATTTTAAAATTTTATTTGGTATTATAATTATAACATTACCAAAGTAAAATACGATATTAATCTCATGGTCGACGTATAAAATAATGTCTACTTCTCCTTGAATGCAATCTTGAGACACTCACTCTATGTTATGTTTTTGTATGTAGATTTAATCTTAGATTACAATAATTTTCTAAAACATGTAATTTAATCTTAAAAGTATGTTATTTGTTGATTGGTTGATGTGTATTAAACAATAACGATGGTTAGACTAGTTTGACCAAAATTTATGACAAATTTATAATAACATGGTATCACGTTATTTATTATTATATTATAATTGTAAATTTAAAATTTTATTTGGTATTATAATTATAACATCACCAAAGTAAAATACGATATTAATCCTACAGTTGACTAATAAAATAATGCCTATTTATTGTTGAATGCAATCTTGAGACACTCACTCTGTGTTATGTTTTGTATGTAGATTTAATCTTAGATTACAATAATTTTTGAAAACATGTAATTTAATCTTTTTTTTTTTTATCTTGGTTGTACAATGGGAAATAACCATTTCTCATCCCTTATCTCACCCCACCTGTATAACATACGATTCAAATTTAAGATTTCTTATTTTCCAACAAAAAAAAAAAAATGACTACTGAATTAATTAAATCGTTAACAAACATGTAATTTAATCTTAAGAGTATGTTATTTGTTGATTGGTTGATGTGTGTTAAACAATAACAATAGTTAGACTAATTTGATCAAAATTTATGAAGATTTATAATAAGTATTAATTATGGTGTAGATCTTATATTATATTAAGTCACATCATCAATTGTTAAAAAAATTGTCTTAAAATTGGATCACGAGCAAATGATTTAAATAACTCAATAATCATCTCCTTCCACTAAAAATAAGAGATCATGAATTCGAATCACATGACATGTGAGTAGAGTGAGATAAAAGATGAAATAAGGGATGAGAAATGATTTTCTTCTACCGTGCAACTAAGATAAAAAAAAAAATGATCACAAGAATCCTTACTTTGAATAATAACATTATTTAGACTAAGAAGAATGATATTTGCAATGATAAAACCAAATTTTAGGACAAAAATAATAGTCTTCATTGATTATGGTGTGGATCTCATATGAATATACATAAAAAATTATTTAAAAAATTTTCATTCCAAAATTTGTTTTAAAATTTAGTCACAAAAATTATTATCTTTTATTTGGATTGGATTGTTTATCATTCTAAAATTCCCGTCATAATTTCAAATAATATTTCCATTGGATATTAAATTTGATTACAAACCAATTCGTTTTATATAGAAAAGACTTTATTCTTCTGTATGAAAATTGAAGTCTTATGTTTGAATAATAAAGGCATGAGAGGGACCTCACTATCAATATTCACTTTAATTTCAAGAATGAACATCAAAAGAAACCTTAATTTCAGAAATTAATGTAATAATCAAAATTCCTCATTAGTTAAGTACCATAATCCCAAGCACTTGGACCTTCGATCTAGTGACATCAAGCTACATTTAAAGTGTATTCTTCTCCTCTCAAATAACGGGCAACTGTTTGAATTTGACCTTTTGTAAATTTGTTCAAAAAAAAAACCAAAATCCGAAGAAAAAAAAAAAAGAAAAGAAAGAAAAAAGAAGCTATTCAAATTTCAAAGGAGATGGAAGCTCCGAAGTTAAAACAACCTGATGGACTTTGTATGACAGTGGGCTGGACTCTTTAAAAGCCGCAAAAGAAAATTTCGAATTTTGGACAAAAACTAGATATTCCAATCTTTACGGACTGAGCCATCAACCTTAATTGGGTTGGGCCTGTCCTTTTGGGCTCTATTGACTTCCAGAGTTTGTTCGTACTCTTTTGATAATATGATTTAATTGTCTCTTTTTTTAATCGTCTCATTTTTCTAATAAAGTGATATCTAATTTAAATATTTTACCTTGTTTGGGCAAAAATAAAATTTTAGTGATGGAGCATAAAAGATACTTTAAATCCGATTAAACACGTTTTATTTTATTGTAATAAGATATTAATATTATTAATATTTTAATTTTATCCTTATTTCAAAAAAAATAAAAAATAAAAATGTGATAGGAAATTTTTTATTCCCTCCCTCCCTCTATTTATATTTTAAAAAATAAATAAAAACAAAAAAAATTTTATAATAAGATAAATAATTAAAATTAAAAGATAATTATAAAGTCAAAATAAAAAATATTTATCTCTCTTCATATATGAGAAAATTATTATTATTATGAGATAAATTTAAATAAAAAAGCTAATATTATTCTAAAACAAATTTTAAATAAAAAAACACCTATTATTTTAAAATGAATAGAGTAATTATAAATTGTATAGAAAAGTAAATCCTATTCCTTTTGTCCAACTTTAGTAGCTCTAGTTTTTTTTAATAAAATAAAAATATAATAATTAATTAATTAAATTTTATATTTATTTTTAATTAATTATTAATTAAATATAATTTTTTATTGTATACATTGTAATTAATTTTTGAATAAAAATAAAATAAAAATAATGCATTAAATTAAATTCTTTATAAAAAAATGGATATATAAATTTAAACACACTACATTAAAAATTACAAAATTAAATATACTAAAGTTAAAATAAAGTTTAAGGAAAAAGATTAATATTAAAAATATTAAGATATTTAATAATATTTATTAAATATATAATGTATAATGCGAATTTTAATTTTATTAAATTTATTATATAATTATTATTAAACATATGAAGTTTTTTATGTCAATTTAAAAAAAAATTAAAAAAGTAATTTTTTTAGTAATAAAATGAAAAAGAAACTACTGTGAATGTAGACATATAGCCCGACACGACACTCTATTAATGCAAACGTGATTTGCGTGACGGAATCTCAAGCTGTCGTACATGGCGTTCCGACAAAAGAACGGCGCCGTCGACTCTTCGTCTTCCCTCTCCTGTTTCTCCCATTTCTGCAACTCAGCTCGCCGGGCCAAGCCCCTCGATTCTTCTTCCAGCCGTTCCACTCCAGGCGATGGCCTCATCCGCCGCCTTGGCCTCTTCGATCTTATCCTCCTTGGTGTTGGCGCCTCGATTGGCGCTGGTATTTTTGTGGTCACCGGTACTGTCGCTCGCGACGCAGGACCTGGTTCGTAATTCGATCTCCCTTTGACTTTTTCCGAGGTTAATTTTGCTCGATTCCAATGAATTCGATGAATTCGTGGGTTTTTTTTTTTGGGATGCAGGCGTGACGATTAGTTTCATACTCGCGGGAGCGTCGTGTGTGTTGAACGCGCTGTGTTACGCGGAGCTATCGTCTCGGTTTCCTGCCGTGGTTGGTGGCGCGTATCTGTACGCGTATACTGCGTTCAACGAGCTCACGGCGTTTCTTGTGTTCGCTCAGCTTATGCTTGATTATCACATTGGGGCTGCTAGCATTGCAAGGAGCTTGGCCAGCTATGTCATTACGCTTCTTGAGCTATCTCCTTTTTTCAAAGGACATGTACCCAGCTGGATTGGACATGGCGGCGAAGAGTTCTTTGGAGGAGCTTTATCGATCAACATTTTGGCTCCCATCCTGCTTGCCCTTTTGACCATCATCCTCTGTTGGGGTGTTGGAGAATCTTCCATTTTGAACTCCTTCATGACTGCAACAAAGGTGACTTTTTTTTTATTTTTAATGTCCCCTCTCGTTGTTACAATTGTGAGTTTCCTGCAAAATTAACGTTGTTAGGTACATGATTTTTTTTTTTTTGTTTAATTCTACCTGAATTTATGTTCATTTGTCTGATAGAAACTGTGGTGCAGGTTATCATTGTTGTTATTGTCATTTTTGCTGGTGCTTTCGAAGTTGATGTTGATAATTGGACACCTTTTGCTCCAAATGGATTTCAAGCAGTACTAACTGGTTCTACAGTAGTATTCTTTGCATATGTTGGGTTTGATGCCGTTGCTAATTCAGCTGAAGAATCAAAGAACCCTCAGGTATTTCATGTTCAGATCAACTCAATTCTGTGGCATCTTATTGAAGGTTTATTTTATGATCTGGACGGTGTTTCTTTTATGGGGTTTAATAATTCTTTCTTTTCCTCTTTCCTTTTTGATTTTTGATAATTTCAGCGTGATTTGCCAATAGGAATATTGGGAAGCCTGCTTATATGTGCTGCATTGTACATTGGAGTTTGCCTAGTGATCACTGGGATGGTACCTTACAAATTCCTTGGGGAAGATGCTCCCTTGGCTGATGCTTTTAATTCTAAGGGTTTGAAATATGTTTCGGTTTTAATCAGCATAGGAGCTGTTGCTGGACTTACAACGACACTCCTAGTTGGTCTCTATGTTCAGGTGAATCAATTTGGGCATTTGCTACATTATCATGCCCTCATTGTATAACTTGCCCTGTGCATGTGTGTGATGGAATGTTTTTCATGAGCAGTCTCGCTTGTATCTTGGGCTTGGAAGAGACGGTTTACTGCCATCAATATTTGCTAAAGTGCACCCAAAACGCCACACCCCTGTTCATTCTCAAGTCTGGGTTGGTATTATTGCTAGTATTTTGGGAGGGCTGTTCAATGTTCACAGCCTCTCACACATTCTCTCTGTTGGCTCATTGGTATGTTAATGCCCTAAATTTTTCTTTGTATCATATCTAAAATTATTAACTCTGGAGCATTCTGTCCATGGAAATGGCATAAATTGATAGATATTTCATATTTCTAAGGTTAAATTAAATAAACTCCAGAAGATAGGTCACTGTTTAATGAACAAACTGCGCCCATTTTTATAATGTATGTATGTACAAGAGATGCATTACATAGTATACTTTGCTTTGTTTCAGACAGGTTATTCAGTTGTGGCAGCATGTGTTGTAACTCTTCGCTGGAAGGATGAAAAAGGTCAATCTTCAAGATGGATCTCAGCCTGGCTTGAAGGTGTCATATACCTAGTCATTGTAGCCTGCTGTGGTTTTGCTGCTGGAGTCCTTTATCGTTACAGTGCTTCATTTATTTTCCTGATCATCATGGCAGTCATAGCAATACTTGCTTGTGCTGCTCTGTGTTTGCGCCATGTGAGTTTTAATACCAGTTAGTAACATATGCCATTGCTGTCTCTCATAGTTAGTTGCATGTTGCATCATCATCGTAGTCAAGAGTAGGCTCATTACTCTCAGAAAAGAGTTGCACATACATTGTTGTGAGCTCTCTGAAGCATGGTCAACTGAATTCGTGAACATTTCATGAATAAGTTTCTCTAACCTCTACATGCCTTTTTCTCAGGCTTATGCAGATCCTCCAGGTTTCTCCTGTCCTGGGGTTCCAATTGTGCCCTCTGTCTGCATCTTCTTCAACATATTCCTTTTTGCACAGGTATGTTCACAAAGTACCCTTACAAGAAACAACATCCTTAATTAATTCCTTACGCAGCAAGGGAGATGGAGATTAACATTTTTTTTTTTTTGTGCAGTTGCACCATGAAGCATGGATAAGATTTGTCATCCTCAGCATTATCACAGTCGGAATTTATGCATTTTATGGGCAATATCATGCCAATCCTAGCTCAGATGAGAGAATAGTTTACCATAGGGCACCAGTAGAAGATACTCAATAGCTATATGTTTCTTACTGCCTATTCTTATTGGCACCCATTGTTGTATTTTACCTGATGATGTGATTACGCATATCATAGCAAAAAAGTTATTCTGGATGAAGCTTTGACATATATGTGCGTTTAAGTAGTTTCTTCTGGTCTCTTTTTAATGTAAATTGTATCTCTCATTGGTTGAATAAAAGCAAAATGAAAACCATTATGTGTTTGAGGAAGTTCTGAAATCGGCTAGCGTTTCTCTAATCTCTCAGCTTGCCAATGGCTAAGGCTGCAGGCTATCTATTTTGGATTATATTCAGAAGTTGCAAAAAACAGAGGCTACATATTGCTGGACGTTAATAATGTGTGGACAGTGGACCTCGCATAAATCAATGGCCAAAAAAATCTCAGATCTTGCCGACACAACACATTGAATAATTAGATGAAATTGATGCTTCTACAAAGGAAGTGCACTTTTAAGGACAAATATACAGCCTCAATTTGGGCAGAGAACAACCCCTAACTCAGTTGCATACAACATCAGAGTAAAAACCTATTGTTCTCCTTTGACAGTTCTTGATGCCGAGTAACTCTACATCAAAAACTTCAAACTGTTTTGAGCTGAAAAATGTGGAAGGTCCCACCTGAAGACATAACAAAATTATAATAAATCAAGTTAGTCCAATTTTCACAATAGAGTTTAGATGGCAAGGAAATTGATAAGCACATGCACAATACATCTATTTTCATCAATTTAAACTGTCATGCTTAGGACATTGGGAATCAAGATCTAGACCAAGTATAAAATATAGACCAACAAAAATGTTTCTCGCATTTTAACTTAAAATGTTGAACAACACGTCTAGTTAGGCAACAAGCAGCAGAATAAATTAGACCTTGGCCAAGTTAAAAACAAGAAACTAAATAAATAGAATTCTGTTTTGTTTCTTTACACCCCCCCCCCCCTTTCCTCAGACATGTTATGAATTTCTCTTGTTTAACCTATGCCTTGGCCCGGAGAAACACAGGACACAAAAACGTTCTGATGATCAGAAATGGCGGTTAAATTAGATAATGGAAGATAGTGAAGAAAAGTCTAAAAATATGTAAATGAGGATAAACAGAAATAAACTAGTTGAGTAACTTACTGGTGGTCCAAGTTCTGGAGGAATGATCATCCTTCTTCTTCCGCCAGGTCTCATGTCTCGAATTCCTTCCTCAAATCCTGTATGAGAAATCTATTTCAGTGATTTCCATGGTTATCTTTTGTTCTACCATTCCATAACTTCTGCTCTAGAAGTACAAATGAACTAGGAAGGAAGAGAAGTTATTTGAGGGGATATCAGGAAGTCAGAAAAGCAGTGATGTCAATTTATTATTCCTAGCAATGCCCTTACCAGGAACTAATGCATTAGTTCCCATGCGAATTCTGGCAGGTGAACCCTGTAAGTAGGTGCTGTCAATGCGCCGGCCTGACTCATTATAACCAACATAATGAAAAGTGACCTGCAATATTTCTCTAGTTAGGAAGAGATGCTCATAAATGGAGAAGATACTCTTCATTTGCAGATCAAAAAAAGAGAAGATAATCAGAATTCCTTCAGGAGAGAGAGGCCAGGCTCAACTACCCTACTCTCCCTTGGCCTCTCCAGCACCAAATGTACCAAAATGTAGATCCTGTTCTTGTTGAGGTTAATAACCTTCAATATTATGTTAAGAATCAAATCTAAGTATTGACAAAAGATGTTGAACATGTTTCAAAAAGAGCACTTTATTCCAAAGTACTAGGGACTGCTTTTGTTAACAACAATAACAAAAGGAAAGGAACATGTGACTTTAAAGACAATGAAAGAAAAAACCTGTTGACCATCCTTTGGGCAATCACCTTTACCAACTTCAAAGTCCCGATATATAAGCCCTGAATCAGACTTTACATAATTCTCTGAAGTTAATACTTTAACCTGAAAGCCTGAATCACATATTCAAAAACTAATAGTGGTTATGTAGAATAGAAGTTAGAAGCATCATTAACTATTGACTTGAAAAAGGGGTAGTGGTTTTGAGGAAGGAGTACATCATGCTGTATATAACTATATAGACTATTACTACTCTTGCAGCACAAACCTTCTCTAACAAAATTTGGGAAGTCTTCAGGAGCATTATTTTCTTTCTGTATTCGTTTATTCTGTTCTAGCAAGCGCCTTTCATCATAGGGGTTTTTACTCTTAGTCTTTCCTGAAGAAGATAATGTTGGAGACAAGCCTGAGGAGAACAAAAAGAAAAGGAGAAACCTGCGCCTCAACTGCTCTTCACCTTGTGACATGTGCACCTTCTGCAGTCTGGCAACTCACAAAATGATTCACAGTAAATAACTAAACACTCTCTAAAACACAAGAAAGAGAGATCTAATCAGTGACTCTCTCACCTGTCATCTTTCAAGTGGTGAATTGAGCAGCAAAGTACTTTTAGTTTTTGTTTCTTTTGAGCAGGGAAATATCCTAACCTGCAGTAAGCTGAAGGACCATCTGTCAGAAAATGTAGGCAAATATATTACTGTAGGAAGAGATAAACTGAAATGTTCATCTATTTGGTTTTGCCAAGGAGAAAGCAAATCTTTTGAAAAGACGACAATCATCTTTAACCCCAAGTACTTAAATTCCACTGTGGTTGCAATGCAGGGATCCAACTGAACTGGAAAACTTCATATATGAATTGTTTACTCAAGAAGAAATGCATATAACCGACAAAAAGATAATAAATTATGCAAATTTCCATTGCCTTTTCACCGCATACCTACAAATTGGACGAAATTGGCTACATAGCTAGCAACAAGAACGAACAAGAAACATAACGTTTGAGTAAATTTCCAGAATCATTTCATGGGTCAAGTGTTTCCAGGAAACAGAGCTCCATGCCATAACTACAAACCCCAAAGCTCTAACTCCAGTAGGAACCTGGAGTCAAGGATTAACAACGGTTCCTTAAAAAGACCCAACAGGAAAATACCCAGAACCACTATCATCTACTGAAAAGCAATCTATATAATCCCTTCTACATTACATATTAAATATGTTAGTGAGAAAAAAAGGAGGAGGCTTACAAAGAAGAGATGGGTCTGAGGAAGGTAGTCTGACTGCTGAGAGAATTGTAGACATGGCGTTTTGCTTTTGGGCGCAGATCCTCTTTCCCTGTTAGTAATATTCTAGCATTACGTTATCCTCATTTTGGTAGTTTAAACTTTAAAGGCAAAAATATCCTATAGCCCTCCTGTTTTTCAAAGTATCTTTTTTCTGGGTTACACTTCTCAAATTTTCACATGACCCCTCTAGGGTTAGTTGGTTATTACATAGAAATGTCAGCAATACTCGTTTTTTGCACTCTTCTTCAACACTCATCATGTGATTGGCCTATGTGTTTATGATTTTAAATATATGTCACATAAATCAACCACATGTTCAATATTAATAAATAGTGTTAAAAAGAATATCGCTAACATTTTTCTATATATTTAAATATATCATTTTTATTTTTCCTCATTAACTTTTAAGATAAAAGCATGTTGGGATTTCATGTGATATTCTCTGCCCTTGCAAACACATAGTTAGACCTCTAGAAAGTCAATGTAAAATTAGAATTATATCCTCCATTTAAAAAGAGAAAAGAAATTCTTTCATTGAAACAAGTTTGATCCGTACACAAACTTACAGTCATACCCTCATTGGAACAACAAAACCAGCATTACAATTGGCCTCATACAGGAAAAGAGAGAAAAATAACTAGCCAGGTACAACATGCCTTCTCCAGTACCATATGTCTGGAATGAAGGAGAAGATCAACCTAGTCCTAAAGGTACCTAATTCACAATTTCTCACTCTCAGCAACAGATGAAAGGGGAATGAATGCAAAAATAGGATAAGAGAAGAAATGGAAAGCACTTTAGGAGAAAGAAATGAAAATTTCTTAAATTAACATATTGAACACATCAATAGGCACGAATGTCTACACTAACACTCTGCAATTGACCAGTCTTCACTGATGCTTTCTGGTCTGCTTGGCATCTGAGCCACAAGCATGAAAGTCTGGCACTAGCAGCCTGACTAGCAACTTGAAACCTGCAAGCCAGGCCCCCTACTGCTGCTATCTTATTACCAGCCACACTTGAGTCAGGGGTAGCATCATATCCGTCTAGATCTGATTCTGTTACAAATACAACAGAGCTATCATCAAACAATGCTGTGTCTGTTTTTGCTGGAAGGAATAGAGGCTTCTTTACTATCCTGCAGCAGGGATTTCCATTTCCAGGCCTTCTAATTTTATTCAACTTGCAAAGATAGTATTCTTCAACAGCCTATATTTGAAGATTGGCATGGTTTGAGTTAAGAAAGAACATAGCAATAGCAAAATACAGCTAACGAGATGGTGGTAACAAATAATATCTGTAAATTACTGAACCGGGCATACCTTCCTCTGGGAAGAGGCTAAAAGCACCCTTGGCCTAATAGATCTAACATACTCATATGCATCATCAGGGGTCATGTCGCGGTGTCCTACCTGTTGTAGAAAGCAAATCTTTTATTATGTTAAGAATAAGTCCGGGAAGATAATTTGAATTAAGTTTGGATGGATACATACCAAGTAGCACAAAACAATGGTTGTGCTGCGCCCCCGCCCGGCCTTACAGTGAACGTATGTTGTCTTCCCCAGAGATGCATTCTCTTCATAAAGCAGAGGAAAACAAAGACAAATCAAGCAAAGCGAGCCATAAACTCATAAGGGACTGTAGTACATAACAGAGAGCAGTTGAAATCCTTAGAATCTAAAAACATATAAATCTCAAAAGCCCTTAGAAAATATGTTCTCCAAATTGTGCAACACAGCTTCTAAGAGTATTAGTGCCACATGCAACGGAACAAGATTAATAGCTTATTAACAGAATCACGAGCGTAAGCAGTTCCCTAGTTCTATCAACATGATGAACATTAATTATGCTGCAAGACAAAATGATTGACTTAAGAAGATACTTACCATGAATGAAGCATACAGCTTGGCTTATATCAGAAAATGATGGTGCAAAAAGATAGTCTCTTGTTGGAATCACCAAATTCTGGATGCCATGAGCCTACAGGACCAAATAAAAAATCATACAAGCACAAAGGCGTACCTGTGCGCGAAAGAGAAAGATGTTAAGAACACACTCACTTGATATAGCGAACTTGGAACCAAAGTCTCATAGGGTTCATTCAAGGTGACGACTCCAGAAACGCCAAGTTCCTTCAAGCATGGAACATGAGCAGGGAAGGGCACAGCACCCAACAAAACAAACTGAATCAAAGCAATTTGTACACAACAATGTAAAGCAATTGATTCAGTCTTAAAATAATCTTATGCACAACATTGGTCAAGATCAAGAAAAACAAGAAGGAAGAAGCCATACAATCGACATAATAGAAGAGAAGAGTAAGAAATCTACAATTGGAACAACAAATTGCAGCTTATTTTCCTACAATCTGAAGTTACATCATCAAAGATCAAATCTTTTGTTCACAGACAATGAATGAATTACAATCGGCATAATAGAGAAGAAAGCAAAGTCTGACACACCTCATCGACCCTGTCCCACCATCGGAACCCAGGCTGAATCCTGTTCCTGACAACGTTGTAAACCAGAGTAGGGTAAAAAAGAGCCCGAGCTGCAGCTCCTACCAAAGCCCGCTTTGCATCCAATGAACCCTGATCCTCACACCCTTCTTCAATATGCATCTCTCCCCTCTCTCAACCCCAAAAAAAAAAATCAAGAAAAAAGAACAAACTTTCCCTTTAGTACCCGTAAGTATTCTTGTTTCTCAGAAATCACCCAGAAACCTTCGAAAATCCAAGAAACAAGAATGTCAAGCTTGATGAAATTTCCTGAGAAAAAAAAAAATTGATGGGAAATGAATTGAAGCAATGTGGGAAAGGAGGGATCTGAAATTCAAAGAGAGGCTTGTTTCTCTTCTCCTTTTTATCTTTATCTCTCTTTTTTTTTTTTGCCTTTGGTGTTTTGTCCCTTTTCCTTTTTCCCAGAAGAAATGTTTAAGTTATTCAAAATTCATTCAGCGTACTGTTTTGTTACCGTTTTTCGTACCGTATTATTATCTGTAGTTCTACCAAAAATATGCGTTTTCCTTTCTCTTTCTGCTTCTATGCCGCTGTTTGTGATTTCCAATAATTTCGAATATTCCGAATTCAGCGGCTTCGCATAAAAGAATGTACCGAATCTAACCTAAATTAAACCCTAATGGGTTGACAACAGGCTCAGGCTGGGAAGTCAGCAGGTCCGCAACGTTACTTGGCCCATAAATTGACTGCACTTTGGACCAACAGTCCGAGACAGTTGCTATTGGGCTGAGTAATAATCTGTTTAAATCTACAAGAAATTTGTTGTTTGAATGGCGAAAATTTTATTAACTAAATACAAGGAGCACAATGTTCTTGTAATTCTCACCAGTTTTGAGAATAAAAATAAGTTTTGGGTTGACAAGTTCACCAGAGAAATAAAGCGAAGTCATTTTGAAACTAACTCC